AGAAATCTCCACACTAAAGGACACTAAAGAATTTTGGAGAAATGCTTATTCTTTCACCTTTAGAAAGTGATAAGAATATGTTTGAGGTCAATGATTTCCAGCGTTACCACATACCAGTCCCTGTCTCTGAAGTTTTATATACCTAATTTTTCAAGTGAGAAAACAGAGAGAAATGCAGTCACTAACATGTGGAAGTATAGCTATCATGGCAGTAGTGCTATTTGCTGTTTGATATAAATCACATGTGTAAATTAGATTAGCAGAATATACAATACCACTTTATTTATAAAAGTGATTCAAACATGTTTATTAAATAGTGACATAAATCTGTTTTGAGGAGGGGAAGTTGTGCAGTCTTTTATTAGCAAATGTGTACGTGACTGATGTTCTTGCAGAGTTAGCTGATCAAAGGTAGTATCAAATGTTTTTGAAATTGTGAAGCTGAGCACCTTTATAGCATTACTTCTTCCATGAGCATTTTTGGTAGCGCTGCTCCTATAAAAGATCCTTCTTTTGAGGAACAGAGTTTTGTGACACGGGAATTTGTGACCAATTCTAGAATCAAACTGAATTTACAGTTGACCATTGCTCAACTGTAGCAATATCAGGTTTATCAGGCTCTCAGTCTGTTGTAAACATTAGGGGAATGATTCTAAGGCTAATTGGCCAGCACTTGGAGAGGTCTTTTCGGTGTAGATGTGATTTAAAAAACAACAACAACAACAACAAGTTTTTGACATGTATATAATGACTTGAAGAATGATTTCATTTTTGTTACCCTTTGAGAGACAAGAGAAATAAAATCACTTAGGAAACGTTTTGCCTTTTCATAACATAAATGTTATGATGCGACGGGAAAATCTATTTATCTATATAGGAACACCTTTTTTTTCCTCTCTTTTTTCTTAACGCAGGAAAAGGAGAATGGTGAGTGAAGTTAAGTGATACTGACATAGAGTTGATGATTCCATATTTAATCAGTATTTGATTTTAAGCTAGAGAACTAGCTGATTTTAAAAATTGAGGCTCTAAATCAAAAAGAATCCCAGGGCTAGAAACCCATAAACTCTTCTTTGTGTGAAAACAGCCCCTCTTGATTCCTGTCTGGTTCTTAAAGCTATACCTCAGATCAGTCTGGAAAATGTGCAGACGTTCAGCAGACACTTCTGATTTTTTCTTGCAACAGATGAGTAGGACCGATATCCTAAGTCAGTTTTGGCAAAAGCGTGGAAGGTATTGCTTGATATGCCTTTCCGATTTTGACGTCTTTTGACTCTTGGAACTTGCCTTTGGCTGCCAGGGAGGAAATTGGACCATTTTAGTCTCTTCTGGAACAATGGTTTAATTTACTTCTGTTTTAGTTGTGTTTACCTAATCCCTGGGTCTTGGCTTTGCATGACCCAAGTAAAAGCAGACCCTGTACCAAAGGTAAGAAACATTTGGAAGTTGAGTGTTGCTGCACCTCAGGTTTTGACATATAAAGGAGAGTTTATAGTACTGTCATCTCACACTAACATCTTTTAATCTCATATTTTCTGCATTTCATGTATAACTGACTTGAGAAAAGACCCACTGGTGTGCAGGAGGGGGGAAATTCTACATATGATACAAAAAAAAGTAATTGTTTCCCTTTTCAAAGTAGCAATTTCTTTTTATTGTTGAAGATACCAATCATAGCGAGTGATACCGGACTGACTATCTTCTAGTTACAGTATAGGCAGATACGTGTTTTAATGGCTGTGCTGAGGTAGGAGGTTACTGCTGTTAGTGTATCCATGACTATTCCTTTGCTTTTAAATTAGCCACATTTTCGCAATCAGCCTGGGAGCTATTTCAGAATGGGTTAGGTTAACTGTAAATGTGTTAGTCCTTGCTGCCCTGTTTCATTTTCTGAGAGTGTTGCTCTCCAGAAAGTCAGGCTTTTCTTTGTGTACTCCTCAAGAGGATGCTGCAGGAGTGACCAGATTGTCTGTGCAACGCTGAAAAATAGTTGTAAACAGAGAGAGCCTTTCATTGATAAGCTAGAACAAAAGAAAATGCAAATGTTATGTAGTAGGAAATGTCAGATTTTGTCTCTTTAGCATAAAAATAGTCATCATCTGACAACATATAAAAGTGAACCTAAAATTTTATACGTGTTAAAACTGTCACTGGTATAACAAAAAGCAAACTATCAATTTAATCTTAAATGCTTTGTGGAGGCAGAATAGTAGTTCTCTCTTAACTGTCCTTAAAGGGTTGGTTTTTGTTTTTGTTTTTTTGATTTTGTTACTTTTATTTCCGCTGTAGAAAACTTGATGCTGTTTTGATGGCATTGAACCCTGCTATGAGATAAAGTAATCAAGGTTCTGAAAGAAGCCTTAGTCTTTGAAAAGTGTATTTGTTTGTTTTTCTGCCCTACAGTGCCCAAATAATGTCAGGTTTCCTGTAGCAGTGTTAGACAATTTTGTTTAGAGGACGTTGTTCTCAAACATAAATAAGTAATGGGTGTAGTAACTGAAAGGTGAAGAAAGAGTTTGTGTGTAAGACTGCCTGAAATGAAATCACATGGTTCCGCACTGATGAACACTGATTTCTATTGCTAAAAAAAGAAACTCCAGATAACAGGACAGAAGCAAAACAAGTATTTGTGAACTACTACTTGTTCAAAATTTCTCATTAGTGTGGACTGATTTACGTGAAAGTAATTCAGAGCACTAATTTAAATAAGGATTTAATCAACAGGCAGGAAACCTGTTTAAATCTTGCAGTTCCTGAAGAAAATTGGATTCTCACCTTTGGGTAATGTAATTTAGTTCAGCTTTTGTTAGCCAGGGTGGGTGAGTTGTTGTTATCCGTACATGCTTCTCATTTAACGTTATACCTCAGTATATGTTTATTCATGTTCTTAACTTTTATATTGCTGCACAGAAAATGGCATGGCACGCTTTGAATTGAATTAATCTTTACTTGTGACAAGCTGAGTTTGGATGGAAATTATCTTGGTTTAAAAATATCCAAATCAAGATTTGAGAATAGTTAATCATTTAATTGAAAAAGTTTTGAACTAGATCATGTGCTTTTACTGCGAATTTGTCAAATTGCTTTGGACTTAATGTTTCTCCTGTAGTAAATCATTTCGTTGTAGTGGGAACTGACCACATTTTTTCTGATCTTCTTGTCCTTCTGTATCTTAGAACTAGTAGGCATTAGTCTCTCTGTTTCTAGATAGTAAGAGGTGAATTTTCCTGCTTTTTAAGGTTCAAATTTGCTTATTGACTTCGGGTAGTTACTCATTTGAACTAGCTCAATAAACTAGAGACAAGAATGAATGTACTGTTGCAGGGCAAATGACTGTCCAGAGCAATATTCTCTCTCCAGTGGTGGCTATAGGCAGATGACTATGGAAGAATAAGAACGGGGCAAAAACGTATAAGCGTTTTCAGTTCAGGGGTTTGCATGAGTTTGTTGTGGTTTGTCTAATAATGCAGAATGGATCTGTGCTACATCAGCTTAGCAGGAGCTAAGCACTTGGAAGTTTCTTGCGTCCGTGTTGTCATTTGACAAGTGATAAAGATGTGCTGTCCTTATTTGCAGGAGAGGTCACTATTGTCAAAAGTGGGTTAAACGTTTGAAAATAGATTCTTGAGTTGTCAGGTTTGGCAGAAATTTTTGAGTCTTTTCAAGCTTATGTATGAAACATACTGCTTCACTAGTATTCTTACAAAGATTATGCTGGTGCTACAGAAATGTAGGCCTTATATACCTAAAGTTGTAAAACTCAAAATAATCTTTAGCAATATTATTACAGAAAACCAAACCCTGACATACCATTTTATAGTCTAGACTAGTTTAAAAAAATTCTCCTGACTGCTGTTTAGATTCTAAAAGTGATACACATGTAGCTTATTTAAATGAGAAGGGTTTTGAGCCCAGGCGGTTCTTACGGTGCTCATATCACTTTAAAGATGGTTTTGATGCTTCTGTTCCTGGACTAGGTTGCAAGCATTCACTTTGTATGCTCTAAGTAATTAAATAATGGTAAAAACTATGAAATTGGCCCCCATTAGAAAATTCTAGCAGCGTGGTATGCTTTAAAACGCTCTGCATAGGTGAAGTCTTTATTTTTTCCACCAAATGAATTTACTTAATAGACAGCGAATACTTCTAAAGGATGATGATGCTCATGCTGTTTCAGCAGAATTTTGCTCATGAATGAAAGTTTGTAGTTTGGGGTTGCACTTCTCATGGATATTCACAACTGGATAGATCAGTGGTGCCTATGCTCAAGCGATTCATAGATCAGAAGGCCAGTGTGGATCATTTTGATTTTCTAGCCTGAGTTCTCTGTGACATGAGACTTTCTTGAATGATTTCCTGCTTCTGGTTTTAGCTAAAATAAATAATACTTTCTGGGAAGAAAAATATTATCCTAATAGAAGCAATTCCAATTGCTTTTAATCCTTAGTTTCTTGTTAAGCAAGCTTTTCTCCTTGTTAAAAATATTTGGCTGATAACTCTTAGGAGTTGTATCTTTTTTTTCCCCCCATCCCCTCTTCTGACTTCCTAAATCATTGCAAAAGACTAAACAATGTCAATTAAAATTGGTCTTGTTTTTCCAGTATTTACGTTCAGTTATGCATTTAAATATAGCCGTAAGGTGGTTTTAATACTCAAAGAAGCTGAGTTCTTCTGTGTTTGCTTGAGAATACATTGCTATTCATATTCTGGTAGGGCTGAGGTTCTCCAGGTGGGAATAAAGAAAAGAAAAAAGTTTAAGTTTTGAGAAATGGTTAGATTGCCAAGACTTGAGTGGCATGGATTTAAATTTGGCTGTGTGCAATGCATGTTCTTTGACATGGTAGAAAAGTTCAACTAATTCCTAGATATTTAGAGAGGGGAATAGAAAGGTCACAGGTTGTATCAGACTAATGTAATTATCAGTTTTGGTGGGGAGAAGGACTGGGAAAACATGAAGCATTCGGAATAAATTGCTTGGGTTATTAGAGGTGAGGGAGCACATGACGCGTTCCAGTTTTGTTCCGAATTTGTTTGTGAAGTTTTGCAAGGTTGTTTGTGGTGAGACTTGCACAAATCACAGACACTAACTTGGTTACAGTGTAAAGGGGGGAGAATACTGTTTGCTAAAGGGTGACTTAATCTAGAAATGCATATGAATAAAGCCAGGAAGCGGAATCCTGTTTAAGTACCTTGTATACCTAACAGTATGCCTGGGGAACCAATGAAACAATGGATTCTCTGTCTTCGAATTATTTAAATTTAAGAATGGATGCATGCCTTTATGGAAGATAGCCTGGGTCAAGTGTAAATGTCTGGAGCTGATATAGGATCACTGCTTTTGAACAGTTACGGCTTATGTTGTGGAGGAGATCAGAGTGCTTTAGCTAATGGGTCCATCAGTTTTTAAAACTCACAGATCTGTTTAACGTAGGTATAGCTCACTCTAAAATGCTTGAATGTTTTATAATAGTGCTCTGCTGAATGGGCTTGGGATTGATACTGTGTTGAGAATGGGTTGTCTCTGTAGATGTATATTTTTTTCAGAACTGGGTAAAAATAAACTGTTTACCCTTCATCCTAGAGTGTAGCCTCTGGAAAATCAAATTTTAACTTTGAATAAACACCTACTGGCTGGTAGATGGATGAAAATGCTGTATTAAAGCATTTATTAACTTTTTAACAAGGATTTATATGAGATTTGTAAAAATGTGCTGCAATTGTTCAGGATAATTATTTTGAATTCTTAATAGTGAATAGCATTTGTGATTTTAATTTGTTTATTTTGCAGCTCCAGTCATTAACCGATACAACAGAAGAGTATCAGGTATGATTTCCTTTCAAGAATTTCATATGTTTCTGAAAAGCTTTGAAATATGTATTTGACTAAAGCAATTCCTTACATCAAGAATGACCTTACTCTTCATCGTTGTGTTTTATTACTCATACTGCTTGCAGTCTTTTTATTTGAAATAATCAGAATTGTTTCTTAATTCCCTTTAGAAACCACTGAGCAACAAATTATGAGAGTAATTTAGAAAACAGTTCTGTGGGTGATGACAGAATACTAAAGCAATTTCAGCCCTAGTAACAATTCTGTCCAGAAAAGCTTCCCAAAAGTTCTACATGACATAAGAATGATGGAAAAGCTTGCTTTATGATGAATTGGAAAAGTGGAAACTTTTTTCTGCTGCAACACATCTACTATTCCATGTTACTAACAGTTTTATCTCTGGTCAACATACAGAAATATATATATTTTTTCTTTTTCTCACTTGTTTTTGTTTTATTGTTTAATATTAACTGGGAGTGATGGATGTTGCAGGGCCTTAAGCCCTTTGCTTATGCAACTGGTATTTAAAGTCATTGGAATTATGGTTGTCTGTTTGTTCTGGAGGCATGGACTGTATTTTTTGTGTCTTATTAACCAATATTAAGTCCTCTAATGAGTTGCTGTTGATGTTTTTAGCCGTGTCATTCCCAAAAATTCTTTTTAAAGTTGTCTTTGAGCAGTATCACATGAACAAAATGTTAAATATAGATGAGAAGGTAGTGTGTCACTTTTCCTTCAAAGTGCAGTGTGGATTGCACTATATGTTTCTTGATTCCCCTCGCCCCCCAAATCTTCCTAATTGTAGAATTTAACTGGTATAGAAAGTCGTCATAGTTCTGATTTGAAAAATGCAGTGTAAAAATGCCAATGTGTTCAGTGTTTCCTCTCTAATTTTCAGTTCAAGTCCACTCAGTTTGTAACTTTTGTATATTATAGATGCCCTTCAGGGTTATAGTTATGGTGAAGTCTTGCTGATAAATAAGCAGAGGCCATTTGAATTGTATATGCATGTTTAACCTTATGTGCAAAATGTCTTCATACCCATGCAATACAATTGCTTTACTACTAGTTGCCTGGGTATGATCCAGGAGGTGACTTCATAGGTATGTCACTGCGTCTAAGTAACTGTGACTGTAGCGAAAACTTTATAATTCTTATAATTCAAAAGCGCTGATAATTTTGGATATTATTGCATGAGAAATTTAGATAAGACAAAACTGTATCTTGAAAGAGGGAGTTAGATATGCTAATAGTGACTATTTGAGGTTAGAAATTGTACGGCATCTTAATCTGGAGAATCCCAAGATATTTTCATTTCCCTGTTAATTAAACTAATCCATCCTGGTGCTTGCTGATGGAGTAAAACTTGACATATAAGAAGTGAATGCATCTCAAGTTTAAATGTAAATAAAGACTAGAATTATTGCTGAGTCTAAAAGTTAATCAGAGGGTAGATGTAATCTTTTTGAATCTTTGGAAACATAATATCAGTGTTCTCATAATCCTGAGTTAGTCTTTATGAAAGAATGCGTTCCTTCACTGAAGGAGTCTAAAGGTTAATGTGAAGAACTAACAGCAAATGCAAATTTGAATTACTAACTTATACAGTTAGATTAAGGAGGACTCGTTAGATGCTTAATAGAACATTGCTGGTCAGCGAAGAGCTAGAATAATTCAGAGTTTGCAATATATGTTAGAATTTGCATGCAGACAAATGTTAATAGACTATGCGTGTTTTCCTACTGTATGCTTAAATATTTTTCACTTTTTTTTCCCCTCTACTTCCTATATATATGCTCTGTACAGTTTATGATCAGTGTGGGATTTGTTGAAACTCATGGAAGAGAAGCAAACGGTATCCATGCGTATACAGGTCCAATTAAGCATAAAAAGGTCAAGAACCCACTAGTGTTTTGTTTTTTGTTTTTTTTTTCCCTACTCCATACCTGCTGTGTCTGTCAAAGTCATCCGAATAGGAACAAGACTAGCAGAATTCTCCTAGGTTATTGAACTCAGTCCCCTGCTGTTGTAGGCATCCACATCCTATAATGCCCTTCGTAAAATGAATGTCAGCCTCGTTTATTGCTTCTGATGGTCTGAACTTGATTCGGTTTCCTTGTTAGGTATATGTTAGGATGTCAGAAACTTCTCATTCTATGAATTTTGCATAATTTCTTTTTTGTTTGAAAAAGCAAACAAACCTTGCATTATGGATTACTCAATGTATTGTCTTTCCAAATGTGTTTATTTTTCACTAATTAAGTAAAGCAGAACAAATCATGAAGTGAAGAAGCTGACACACACAATTTATTTATAATCATATTTAGTCTATTCTTATCTGGTCTTCTATTCAGAAGAACTGTCTGCTAGTCCTTATTGAATCTGGTTTCCTACCAGCTATTGGCATATTTCCTGTGCAGAGTAATTTGTAAGGGGAGTGAAGAAGAGAGCTAAAGTATTTGCTTATATCAAGATTACCACAAAACTCTGCAAAATTGCAGATTTACTGTACTCTGGAAAAACATAGGATAGGAAAGATAGGAAAAGAAATAAAAAACGGACATTGGACGTACTGAAGAAAAGACTTAAAGTGCAATGAAGAACTTTCCTCTTGTCTTTTCTGACAAGCATTTGACTGTCTAAGGATTTACAGCATTGCTCCCAAATCATTTAGTAAGTCAAAAATGTAAGTTAGAAAAAACTACAATTCTAATTACAGGAAAAGATAATAAAGTAATTGCCTACGCTATATATTGAGGTTAATAATTGTTTTAAAAATGATTCAATTTGATATATCTTCTTGGAGATAAATAATTGTTTATGAACTTCTCTGATAATTTATTAACCTCTTAAACTTGTATAACAGTGGTTATATATTCTTCTAATACTGAGTACATCAACAAAGCAATCTAAATTTGGAGTGATTGTTCTTGGTTTAGTTATCTTCAAAATCTTGGTCTTTGCTGAGATAATCTGCCTAAAGGTAAAGAGATAATGATGCAAATTGTAAGGATACATAAACCCATAGAAGATATACTTTCTTTTCCCTGTTACTCCAAGCTAGAGACAGCTGAGGAAATAGGGATAAGAAATTGTGCATATAATTTTCTGCATCTTTTGTACTTTGATGCATGTAACACAGCTGCTAAACCAGAGCTTAAAATTTTAACGTGTGTTCTGGCCTCATGGGCTATTTGAGAACGTGGCTCCACAGTTCTACCTGCAGTGATCCTGCTTTGCCTTATGCCCCACATTGTTGAAATGTATTGGAAAGTGTGCAGGAATAATAAACTAAACAGATTTCTCTGAAAACTATGCATAGTCTGTTTTTTTTGTCTGATACAGAACATACTTGTGTAGAACTTTATTTTATTTGAACGTTGCTTCTTACATGCAACAGTTTTATTATTCTTATCTATTCTGTAAACAGTCTGGTTTCTGAAAACTGCATATAGTTTTTCTTAATTTATGCCATTCACTTTCTTTTTGTGTAGCTTCCTTCTTCAACAGTGACCTTATGCTGGCATTTGCCTATCCAGACTCCAAAGCATAACTTGTGTAATGCTAGATTATATGGATTTTCCAACTGCAGGGGAGTTTCAAAAAGGCAAGACTGCTGTAACAGTTACTGAATTTTTGTTTTTTATTATGAAACATACAAACCTGGAGCTCTGAACTACACTGACAGATAGTGCTTTAATCATTTTAAGTTTTTAGCTTTACAAAACTCTTTCGTTCTTTAAAACTGTCATTCAAAATATGAGTTTTCTGACACAGGGGCAAGAATTGGTGAGCAGATTTATTTTTACTTTTTAAAAATTTGAGTGCATTTGTTTACGCCCTTCTGGCTTGTGCTGTAATTTAGTAGATACTTTAAGTAAGAACATCAGGATTTGATAAAATTACTTGAAAAGTGGTAATGTGCTGCCAAGGTCAAGCTAATCTTGTACACCCCCCAAAAATATATATTTACATCTTCTTCTCCACAAACATAATTTTATTTCTACATTTCTTAAATAATTGGGAAAAAAGTGATAGTATGGCTTTCATACCATATCAATGATACTAATACATTCTCACGTACTACTTCTTCTTTCTCACCCTGGAGTGCCAAGAACATGGGGATTCATTCTGCTCGCTTGTGCTCTCTGTTTCTGCTACTGTTGCTACTTAGTCATCTCCTAGTCTGAGGTGTCCGCTCTTGCAGGAGGGGGAGTGTTTACTTGCTTGACATTAAACTCTTCCAAGCGATTAAGCAGCCCTAAAGGCTCTGTGGGGAATCCCGTTTGCTTCTTGACCAGAGAAACATGGCTTTGTGTGCTGGTCAGAGATTCAACATGCAAAGGAGGTGGCTGTGGGTGGGATTGTGAGAAACTCCATAGACTGTGCAGGAGGGTCGTCCTGGGAAAAGGGGCTCATCTATAAATAATGCCATGAACCCGATTAAAAGTGCAGAGCAGTAAAGTAGTGTTCTCGTGAAGAGAATCAGCCTTTTCCAGAAGTGTTAGGAGGTAGAAAGAGAAATAAGAGCTTGATGTTCCCCTGAAAATTTATCTAACGAATAATTATGTATAGTGCGTGTGGCCATGTAACGCGTTGAGGTACCACGGCGCGCGCACAAACCTCAAACGATATGTTGATCAACTCTAATTGTATACAGGCTGTGATTGACTTGGTGCAGATTGTCCTCTGTTTGCAAGATCAAAATCTATCCCTATGCTAAAAAGCCCTCTAATTTTAAAATATCCTAGCTATAGGGACACTGCAGACTGTGCTGCCATTGGCAGTGTCAGTGCTAATTACCCAGTAGAAAAGTCATCTTGCTGCCGCTTTAAATGAGTTAGCGGTTCCCGAACCTTCTGCTGCTGTGAGTAGCTAGTATCACAGTGCTTGCTGGCTGTCTCAGTCTGCCCAGACTTGATTTGATAGCATCAAAACCCTAGATTCCTTCCTCCTGGGAGCTGGACTGTGTTGAAATTCAGACTTGCTTATAT